CATTATTATTGCCCCACCAGCTCCAGCCAGGGGTCAGGTCCTCACCCAATGCTCCACAACGCGATGAAATGAAGTGGCAGCGCGTTGCGAGAGCCCATCTCAAAATGAGGGACCGGAAATTATTTCAAATGGACAAAATTGGCTGATTTTGATGGAATTAGGACGCTACAGTGGATACGGTAATTTGAACAGTGTGTTTTAAGGGCTCTCATTTTAACAAAGCTGCCTAAAAATACACACACACACTTTTATCTACACCTTTGTGCAAACTGTCAATATATACATCCAACATTTCAGCCAACAAAGACCATAATGAATAGTTTCTCATCTGCTCAAAGACAATGAACCTACTTTCCTTCTCCTAATTTAATTATATGACATTCCCCCGTTTGCGCTTTGTATTTTTACAGCAGTACGAATGCTGGAGACACGCTACCCATTCTCACAGCTTTGTCACGATTCCCATGACATTCGGTGTGGTTTTTTTTTCTTTTTTCCTTAATGATGTTATTTAACTGAAATTAAAAGAAGAAAGCTACACTTCTGGTTCATAAGGTGCTGAGGAAACCCTTGAAAACGCAAAGCCTAAGGTCTTTAGGAGGCAAACAGGAGAAATCTTACATAAAATCCCTTTTTTTTAAAAAAAAAACAAATAAAAATCTCAGGATACTGAATAACAAACTGACTATTTTGAAAGCTTAAGTTTAACAATTCTTCCCGTGACTCCGAAATGAGTGGCTGCCATGTGGTTTTTACAGTGATGGACGTGGCTGGTTGTAGGTGTCACCTGGCATCCCAGGACCACCCTCTCCAGGCAGCCAGGCCCTGATGCTGTAATTAGCTCTGCAGGGGACAGCCACGGCACGCAGGTAGGCACGGGGACACACACACACACACACACAATGCATCCTTTCTCCTCTGCGGGTCTTTCATGCAGGCAATGATAAGGGAAAACATGCTTTTTTAAAGCAAAATAATTGTAAACCCACAAAAATTTGGCAGGAAGACTCAAAGGAGGCGTTGTACCAGAAACTTATTTTCTGTAAACTAAATATAAAATTGACTCCATCAACTTGAAAATTCTCACTTTCTGTTAAATTTCATACAATTATTATAAGCTACGGGTTGGGAAAGTTCCACAATTTACCGTCAACTACAGCAAGCTGCTTCTGAAAATAAATCCCCGACTACATGGTGTAAGGGATAACAGAAGTAAGAAGCCGAGATGTGTCCATGAATCATGGCTGGAGTTTTTCAAAATCAGTAATTAGCAGAACACAGTGACCCAACAAACTATTTTTAGCGCCGCGCATTCAAAAAGTAATTTACGCACGGATATTATTAGGCGCACATTTAATTTCAAACCACAATTACACAAAGTTTTAATTACTAAATATTAAGATACATCTTAGCATATGGTTTATGATTAGCATTTGTAATTCGAGCTATAAACAATACAACTAATTACGTTTATTGGTGGAACTTTACTTCCCACACATGTTCAATCACTTCCAATTATTCCCCGTGTAATCTGTGACCCAGCGAGGTACAGAACGGTGTGCCCACGTTGCAGTAACAGTTTCTGTGCATTCAAGCACCATATTACAGACTCACCCTGTTTTTCTTAACATTTTGCAATCGCAGATGTGCAAACAAAAATGTAGATTAAAAAGCTGCAAAGACCAATGAGCACGTTAGATGCTGCGGCACGCGTTTCAAAACCACAGCCTGGCTTTACTGCTGTGTTTTAAAAAGGGCTTCCAAACTCTGGAGGGGTTGAAGGCCAGGATGGAGGGAGCTTTGAGCAACCTGGTCTGGTGGGAGGTGTCCCTGCCCAGGAACTTGATGATCTTTAAGGTTCCTTCCAACCCAAACCATTCTATGATTCTATGATCTATGGCGAGATGAAAATTGCAGTGAAGACCAGGTTGGGCCACCAAAGGTTTGTAAACAAAAATGCTCCTCCTTTTAGACCACATGAGATGGTCATTGTTTGCTTTCTGAGTTTCCCACCAAAATGCAGTCCCACACAGTGATGGACTTGAGGAAGCAGAGGAACCAGAGACTTCCTCAGCTCCTTTGGCGGCTGCAACCCGAGGGACACCATGACCTGTCCTGCCCTTGCAAGGCTGGACACTTCCCCACCACCACCCTGGGAGCACGAAGGACCACAAATGTGTCTTAATTTCAGGTTTTGCTGGTTTTCCCTGCTGAACACCAGAGTGCTGGGTTTCCATCAAGTCCCCAAAGTTTCCATCAAGTCCACTACACAGTGACCAAGGGATGAGCTGGAGATCTCTGTGATGGGGAAGGCGGCAAACGACCAGGCAGCACTGAACATGCAAACTGAATTTAAAAGATACTCATTGAAAACGCAAAATGGTTTTTGGGGACTTTTTCTGCTTGTTTTTTTTTTTTTTTTCTTTCCCCTGCAGGCCCAATAAAACGCAGAGGGCCCAGGCAGAAACCTTCTCTCCAGATTAAAGCCACATGCTCCTCACCGCCCTCCCGCCAGAGACACCGATGCCCGAGGAGTGGCTGCACAACAGCTCTCCATAACGACTGGAACTTATGATTTTCTCCACTGGTTGACCCAAAACCTCTCGTATGGTGAGCATAGAGGTAGTACGGTTGCCCCACGGTGCAGCTGCTCCATCACCCCCACCATCTCCCCCACAGGGAGCGGGGAGGAACGGGGAGCCATCAAGTATGTGTTTGTCATAAGACAGTAATTGCCCATCAGCTGCTCCCTCTCTGTTTTCTGAGCTCTTTGCAATTACTAAGTGCCATATGGATATAAAGTTGAAGAGAAAGGCGATCATGGCAAAAATAAAATCTTACAAATTAATATCGCGGAGAAATAGCTCAGGGTCTATTTCAATGATAACTGCTTCAGCGTGTGCATTATTTAATTAATCTGCTCTCGGCGAAGCTCAGATATCAAACCACCTCTACCAAAACCAGGTGCTAATACCCTTTGATTTTTTTTTAAAAACAATCGGGCTACATTAAATATACTTCTCAGGTCTAGTTTTGCATGACAGATATGTGGTGTGCCAATGGTTATATATTATATTCTTCCTCTCAGGCATGCATCTCCTGCCGAGACAGCAGACTACAGAAGCTGACCCTTACTGAGACCATCTTGTCTCTCTGACAAAGCTCCTTTTTAACTTCTTACTTACTGTTTGCTTCCTGCGATGGATAAAAACTTTAGCTCAGCTTGTGATAATTTCACAGGCCCTGAGCACCCTGACCCTGGAAGCCCCCGAGGTCAGAAGTCAAGTCTTGTTCTGAAACATCTGTGTGCTTCATATTAAAGTAGAACAAAAGTGGAGAAATATCCACCAGTGTGACAAGAGAAACAGGCAAAATGGGAATGACACGTTGGTCATCTGTTACCCATGCCACCTCAAGCCCTTGACTGAAGCGTGATGGAAAAAACTCTCCAAGACTCCTCCTAAGAAGCACTTTGTTTCGGGAAACACTGAGAAAGGTCTGTGGATGGTTTTTATTCACAGCCCAGTGCTCAGCGGACGTATCCGTAGGCGTCCGGTCACCCAAACAACAAGGCTTTTCAAAAACAACAGAAATTCCGCCCACGCTTCGCTCCGGACAGAGGAGGCATTTCAGAATAACCTGGGCTGGAAATCACAGCTCGGGAAAGCCAGGACAGAAGAGATGCTCCCTGCCCTTTGCTGCATCCAAGGAGCAACAGGCACAGGCAACACAACCCGTTTCCTGCCCAAAGTTGTGGTTATAGAAGGAATTACTCATTTTCACTGATTTGGTCTCTTAAAATTTTAGTTTTGAGACTATTTATTGATCCGGTAGCAAAATACCCATGGAAAATGATCAGCTGAACTGTTCTCCAGTCTCAAATCTGTCCACGTCATACGTGTTTTAAAAATACATATGGGAAAATCAGAATGGGCTGAATTTCTACAGATTAAAAGGGTTAATAAAAAACTTAAGTTGTTAAAATAATACAAGTGGCCCTGCTCTGGTTTCTTCTTCCTACTTAGAGCAGCACAAGATTAAAGCCAAAACACTCATGTGTGTGTTTTCCTAACTGAGGCATTCATCTCATGTTCAGGCAGGAACCATTTTTACCAACTTTCACAGACTAAAATAACGTGTTACAGACAAAAGATGGATGCATAAGTCTCCTGATTCCTGTGTCTATAAAACTAATGGTAATGCACTGCAATTTATGCTTCCACAATAAACAGGACTTTTTTTTTTTTCTTTTCAGTTTTTGTCAATAAAACACGTCCTGATTACACTGATTACACTTCACAAGTGAGGAGACTACAGGTATGCTCAGAGAATGGTATGCAAGCTCAACAGGCAACTTTGTGTAGCAGACAAGATCAAAAAAATTGTCATTAGAGAAAAAGAGTGAAAGACTGACAAAACTGGATGTTGAGCAGCCCCAGCATCAGGGGAAAAGGCAGCTTGACCCTGAGCAGAGTCCTCCTCACTTTCCATCACTCCAGGATTTATCCAGAGCCTAATAAATGGCAAAAAAAAAAGTCTTGCCAGCCACATCTGCAGACCTTTATGGGAAACCTGCAAAACTGGGTAAAACCCCAAATTTCCCCTCATGTTCAGTTCCAATCTATCTACAGGAAGGTGCATTCATTGAAGTGATTTTGCTTTAAAACTGTTCTTGTTCGTTCTCAGTCTTCACCTCCCCTTTTCCTGCCCCAGAGCAGAAAGTCCCTGAGAGCTGCCTTTTGGTACAAAACCCAGACAAAGAGGATCCAACGTGTTCTGTTTTCCCACAGTCTTTTGTGTTTGCGCCCACTTGGGACCTCCCTGTCTAACCCAAAATCAGAGAAAAACACCGTGCGAAGAACTCCTCGGGGATCTGCATCCCACCACTGGTTCAAAGTTGCTCCTAAACGGCTGCGTCCAAGAAGGGGATCACAAAAAAAACATCTACAAAAATCTGTGAAAGACTTCAGGAAAGAGGGCAATGAAGAAATGACACTCACCAACTCTACGAAGGCAAGTCCACCGTAACTGTGAGCGACAAAAAACACGTTCTCCGCAGCTGACTGGGAAATAAAATGGTCCCAAACATAAATTGCGTGTTCTTCGGGAGATCCATTATCCTGCAGAAAGAAATTACGTTTGCGACAATTACCTTTTAAAAACTGGCAGTTCAGTCTAAAAGCAACGTGTTCCTATACGTTAAAATGTTTTGTTAAAACAAACCTCGAATGAATATACTCTAGTGTCAGAAAAAGAGAAGAGATTCATTTGTCTAAATAAAAGAAATTTAAGATTGCAATTTAAAGGCAGTAAAACTGTTGCTTTATTGTGGCTTATTTTAATAAATACAACAAAAATTATGCATCTGCAAAATTTTGTCTAAATACGATGATGGCAATTCAGCTAAACAGAGGCATTCAGAGAAATTATGAGCCACTGCTCTGATTTTCATTCTTTTGACAACTCTTTGTCAAATGTTTGTTCACTGATGGTTTGTTTAAAGTAGTTAAGCCTTAGTCTGATAAAACAAATAAAAACAAGTAGGAACAATATGAATATAATTTCAGTCTTTACAATTTTTTCATATTACGGGCCAAGGGAAATCTGCCAAAGATTAAAATGATGGTATTTGCAACTACTCTTTTAAACGCTACTTTTTGCAACTGCAGAGTATGAGAGACAGGGCAGATAAAACTCCTCTTGACGTTGCTTTGGAGTCTCTGGGAGTTAGTGGGGGTGCTTTTTCTTATAATTGAACAAGAATTGGTGAATGCCAGTCAGTGTAAAAGCCGCTGAAGGTGATGGAGTGATTTACACCGATTTTAGTGCGCTCTCCTCCAGCGTCGGGGTTGTGCACTCCCACCTCCACCTTAGAGGCTCTCAGAATACCCTGTACCCCTCAATATTTTACTTATTTCTCAGGCTGTCCATGTCGTAACTACTGATCTGTCTGGTGTCTGGTGAGAAGAGTAAGATGTTCTGCTGGCTCACAGAGTCACAGAATCTTCATGGTTGGAAGGGATCATTGAGTTGAACCATACACAAAAAAACCAACCAAGCAAAAACCAAACCAAAACCCAACCAAATAAAAACCAACAAACCAAACAAAAAAACCCCCCACCACACAACACCAAACACAAAACAAAACACCCAACCCAACAATCTCGGGCACTAGAGCATACCCTGAAGTGCCACGTCTACACGTTTCTTAAACACCTCCAGGGATGGTGACTCCACCACCTCCCTGGGCAGGAGGAAAGTCATTCTTCCCAATATCTAATCTAAACCTCCCCTGCCCCAACTCCAGACCATTTCCTCTGCTCCTGTCATGATTCCCTTGGGAGAAGAGGCCAACCCCCCCCTCTCTACACCCTCCTCTGAGGGAGTTGTAGAGGGCACTGGGCTCTACCCTCAGCCTCCTCCAAACCAAACGTGCCCAGTTCCCTCAGCCTCTCCTCGTAGGACTTGTTCTCTAGACCACTCACCACCAGGATTTCCCCTGTCCCACCAGGAGTTCACACTTCCTGGACAACACCGCAAGTCCTTTCCAGGCTCTCTTGTGCCAGAAAGAGCCAATCAATCAAGCTCACATCATTTTCTAAAATCTACATCCCTCCACCAACAACTTCATACCCTTAGGAGACCCAGATGCAGGCCACAAAAGCCTCAGTGCCTTGGGGAAAATAAAGTACAAAACAGCAAAAAGCCACTGGCAATCAGAAGATGCCAATCACATTGTGTGAATTTCTGTAACTTTACCCAGAACAGTGATGAGATTCAGGTCTTAGTCCTGTTCTGAAGCTCAGTTTTGGGAATTTGAGCTCTTATGAGTGTCTAAAATCAATGGGAAGACAGACAACTAAATAATGTGGTGGGTTTAGGCTTTTACTTCTATTCTCATTTCCCCGTTTCCTAAATAGGAGTGAGATGGCTACAAATCTTTATGGATCTGGACCCAAAGCTTTTAAAACAATTATGTGCTTTTAAATATTTTTTTTTTCTCTAAGGTAGCAGCGATTAAAATATATTTATCGAATTTGCCAAAAAGCACTGGAGGCATTCTTCTTAATCCTGGACAGTTTCTGCTCTTGATTGACTATGACAGAAGATAGTTTTAACTAATTATATATCAACTATTGTAAACCACCTCAGCATGAGAAAGGGCTTATTTTCTTTCAACCTTGTTTTGAAATTTGATTGTAGAGATGGGTAAAGGAGGTAAAGACTCCTCCCTTTGTGAGGGAAGGGGGGAGTTTGTCAAAAGAAATTTCATAAAGAAAATATGATTGACAGACTGGTTATTAAGATAAAGCTGAAGGACAACTTGAACTGGAGTTTCCTATGGAAAAGTGATGTACGTTAATTATGACACATACGAAAAAGGCACGTTAAAACACCGCAAGTAGTTTTTAAATGACTATTTTATCTAAAAAGATTTATATTGCTTAAATATGCAGGAGATAGTTGTTTTTAATAACAACGTTACCATTAATTCTCTTAACAGCAATTTTTTGTACAGGTATATAACCCTGCTTTAACATTCTGTCAAAAACAAGAGGTTGTTTCCGTTTAATATTGCGTTTTCAGGTGTTCTGTTGTTATTGTTGTTACGTGTTTTGTTGAGGGTAGAAAGGTTTTGCAGAGGGATCTGCAGAGGGACCAGGGGAGGTTCAGGACGGATATTAGGAAAAATTTTGGCACTGAAAGGGTTATTAAGCTGCCCAGGGAAGTGGTTGAGGCACCATCCCTGGAGGTATTCAAATGATGGGTTGACATAGAGCTTAGAGACATGGTTTAGTGATGGATGTTTTATGTTTTTTTTTAAATCAGAGTCAGGTTAATGGTTGGACTAGATGATAGTAAAGGTCCCTTCCAACCTCAACAATTCTGTGATTCTGTGGTTATTACAGAATCACAGAATCTTCACGGTTGGAAGGGACCTTTGAGATCCGCGGGCTGCTGGGAAAAGCACACAGTTTCAGGGTTTCCACGAGACTAAGACAGCAGCAAGAAGCTTCTGAAGGATTCAGTAACTCAGCCCCATAAGCCTTCAGCCAATTAGAACATAACCAGTGGTATTAGTAAACCAAACCATTAACTGCAGAGCTCCACAGACCGGTGAGAAGACTCAACAGGATTTTGTAAAAGCAGAAAGAAATGAGCTAGAACCGTGTAGATATAGACTGTAACTACAGTTTCCTTTGTTACTGGTGAAAAAAACCCCACTTTGTAAAATGTCAGGATAAACTGCGCTGCTGTAGGTCCCTACTCTGCTAAGGTAAGAAACACATGTATGTGTGAGAAGGAGCTCGGAGGAGTCACAGAATCACAGAATCACAGGATCTTAGTGGTTGGAAGGAACCTCCGAGATCATCGAGTCTAACCACATTAAAAAAAAAACCCAAAAAACCCCCAAAAAATCAAACCAAACAAAAAACAACAAAAAAACCCAAACCCCAAAACACCACCCACCAACTAAACCCCACACCCACAACCCCACACACAACACCCCACCGCAAACCAATAACCTTGGGCACTAGAGCATGCCCTGAAGAGCCACGTCTACACATTTCTTAAATCCCTCCAGGGATGGTGACTCCACCCCCTCCCTGGGCAGGCTGTTCCAGTGCCTGACCCCCCTCTCAGGAAAGTAATTCTTCCTAATATCTAATCTAAACCTCCCCTGCCCCAACTCCAGACCATTTCCTCTGCTCCTGTCATGATTCCCTTGGGAGAAGAGGCCAACCCCCACCTCTCTACCCCCTCCTTTCAGGGAGTTGTAGAGGGCAATGAGGTCTCCCCTCAGCCTCCTCTTCTCCAAACTAAACATGCCCAGTTCCCTCAGCCTCTCCTCGTGTACCTTGTTCTCCACACCCCTCACCAGCTTGGTGAGTCGTGTGTGTGTTGAAAAGAAAAGCTCTTTCTTCACAGCATCTGCTTATTTCCGTCCCCACTCTGTAACGAGCCCTTATTTTAAGCAACTCTGATGGAGAACAAGCCAGCGCTGTGTCCATTTGAGGAACATCTGCAGGAGCTGGGCATCACAGACCACAGAACACAGGGATTATCCTCCTCTGCCTGGCCGGGGTTAAATTATGGGGCTGGACACTGCAGTTTTGGTATGAAAGTTGGCAGTTTCAGGCAACTGTTGCTTTTCGTTGCCCCTAAATGAACCTTGAAGACCATCCAGTGCCACCCCCTGCCCTGGGCAGGGACACCTCCCACCACACCAGGGTGCTCCAAGCCCCCTCCAACCTGCCCTTGAACCCCTCCAGGGATGGGGCAGCCACAGCTTCTTGGGGCAACCTGGGCCAACCATCCTCATTATCTATTTGATTGTACAGAAAGGAATGGAGAAATCATTCCATGTGCCTCCAAAGTCAGCTGAGACTTGGTGCATTCTTGTTTGTGAAACAGACTGAGAGGGAAAGGTGCTGGGAAAGCTAACTTAAATTTCCAGGAGCTGAAAGTTGGTCATCTGTAACTGGTAATCCTTTATCTATATAAAGCTGTCTGATTTTTCAGAGGTGTGGGAGTCACAGCTGTGGGTCTTCATCCCTCTGAAAATCTCCTCCTCCCCCCCCATATGTATACTTAGAAATAAAAGAGAAAAAAAATAATTAGAAATAAAAGAAAAAAATAATAATTGAGAACCATGTTGTGTGGAAAGGCCTCCGTGTGACACAGAAGTCATGCAAAGAGTTGGCTAATGTTGGGTTGCTATAGACCAGGTCCCTCTTGATCCTGCTCCTACCCCTCAGCTCCGTGGTGTTAGAATCGTAGAATCATAGAATTGTTTAGGTTGGAAGGGACCTTAAATATCTAGTCCAACCATCAGCCTAGCTCTGACAAAAAAAATAAATAAGAAAAAAACAAACCAATAAACCATATTCCTGAGGACCATGTCAACCCGTCTTTTGAACACCTCCAGGGATGGTGCCTCAACCCCTTCCCTGGGCAGCCCATTCCAAGGCTGGAGAACCCTTTCCTTTAAGAAATGTTTCCTAATATCCAGTCTAAACCTCCCCTGGTGTTGGGATGGGGATGGAGCTGGGGCTCTGGGCAGGGAAGGTAGAACCTTCACCCATGCTCATATCATGCCTCTGGTTGTAATGGGATA